ACCACTGCCATTGCTACTTAAGCTGTATTAACTAGTACATCACAAAATGTACACCATGTGATTAATGCGGACTGATGTTATGAATGGACACTGAGTATTCAGGTGCACAAGATTAAAGCTCACAGTTGAAGTTAGTCTTAACAGAGGAGTAGTAAGCACAATGTGCAAGTTTAGGGCACTTTTGGTTCATTTCCCGGAACACTTTTGCGATTACATTAGCACTTGATGAAATGGAACTGCTACTGTGTGTGTGGGGGGGGGGAGTTGAGTTTTTGGCCAGAAGTAATGTGTTCATCAGCATTCAGCCTGCATTTTTCACTTGTAACTGTATGGCAACGCTAATGATTGTCTGCTATAATACTCTGCTCTCGAAGCAGAAAAAGTCCATCCTTCTGGGAAAAAAGTGGTACAACATAGTCTCAATACCATTGGGTAAACTTGACTGTCCTGTCCCCTGTTCCTTTTATTAATAAACATGGGGGCAAAAAAGTATTTTTATCCTGTTCCAGTCTGTCAGATGTGCTTTTTTCATTTGTATGACTTGGTTGTTGCATGTTTGCAGCCAGTCAAAGACTGTGCAAACACTGGTAACGTCCAGATGTTAGCTTATGCATATAGTAGGTATTTTATGCACATGGTAGCAATAGTCTTCAGTGTAGCACTCTGTGTGTCGAGCTTTTGGTTTTATTTTGTCATTTTGTCCACTGGTGCTGCATGTCTTGTGAGAAATAAAAATATTTACAAAGGCTGTCGAAACCATGTACTTTCTTGCATTGTCGGTATAATACAGCAAGCATTTCCGTGACTTATATAAAGGTGCAATTTAGAAAAACGTTCTGGACCCATATTGTCAAAGTCCTCACGTGAACATGCCCTTCGCATCCATCTGTTGTCATAGCATTGTTGCCTTGTCCCACTAGACTGCTACATCATTTGTGTGGAGAGGGAGCACTTCAGATAGCGAGTGCAGTTGCTGATTATTGCCAGAAATACATTCTCCCAGCTAGGCTAATGAAAAAAAAAAAAAGAACTTCCTCTAAGTGGCCTGCTATTTTAATGAACTGGGGTAGAGATATGGGTACAAAAGCCCTGAAAATTTAGGTCTACTCCACTTGTGTTGCCCCGCCGCGGTGGTCTAGTGGCTAAGGTACTCGGCTGCTGACCCGCAGGGCGTGGGTTCGAATCCCGGCTGCGGCGGCTGCATTTCCGATGGAGGCGGAAATGTTGTAGGCCCGTGTGCTCAGATTTGGGTGCACGTTAAAGAACCCCAGGTGGTCTAAATTTCCGGAGCCCTCCACTACGGCGTCTCTCATAATCATATAGTGGTTTTGGGACGTTAAACCCCACATATCAATCAATTACTCCACTTGTAGCTCAAAAGGGCAAAGAAGGCCTAAGTCACCATTCTTTGCTATATTCAAAATGAAAACTAAGAATGAAATATGTCTGTGATAGATTGAATATCGCAGACATTATTCATTCTTAGCTCGCGTTTGATTACAATAAGAAGGCTACAGAATGCCTGGCTGACCATAGAATGGGTCTTTTGGGGCTGAATTCCCTGATCTAAAATTTTAAAAATTCGAGTTTTTCCAGCACTAGAGCTATCAAGGCTGGGTATTCATCCATTTTTATAAAATATTGATTGCTGAAACATCTCTAAAATGTTACAGTTCTCACTAATAATGAAATATATGTGAAGTTACTTATCTGTATTTATTATTAAACATTCGAAAATATGTATTTTCAGCTTTGCCACCTTCACGAACATGGTGAAAACATAATCGTATACTATTGCGGTCAGCCAGAGGTAGTTGCTTAAAAAAGGCAACTTTTCAGTAACATACTGTGAGTGACATAAACGATGAACTTTCCCTGGCCCACTAGTTGATCGATTGTGTAGTATGTAAGTATGTGTGCCTGCAGTGTTCGAGGAGCTTTGGGGCTGTAGTAGATAATTTCGTTAAGATCACGCCCATTTTGTGAACATTGAAGATTATTCTGGAATCAACGCAACCGCTAGCGATAATTGTAGAATGTTCGACGCCACGTGTAAATTCCGACCACAGCTCTATTGCAGATATTGCCACCAAACATCATGGTAAAAGAACATTCCTATTGCATATCCACTAAGTCTACATGCAAATAAAATGTTGAAGTTTCATAGCTGCCCACTGAGTATGTTGTTTCATACGCGCAAATGAATTGCAGCTTGCCACTTCTGGCAAAGTTAAAGCACCAGTTGTGTCACTGCTTGCAATGACGGAGGTGCTACTCTGATTACTGCAAGCTGCTACAAAAGGAAAATTTTGCTACAAGCTGCTTAAAACTGCAATTTTTCTTTGTAACTGCTTCAAACATGCCCCAAAATGGCACCAATAAAATGAAGATTAGGAACTTTTGGCCAATTTGCAAGCCATAACACAAAACACCTCTGCATACTAGCATCCTAGCCTACGACTAGCATGCGGCTTCATTATTTCTGATCTCATTCATGTAGCAAGAACTGGCATATCAAGCATGTAGCTGTGTTTATTTCCTTTTTCCAACTCGACATGCAGGCTACTTTGGTGAAAGGTAAAAATTACCTAGATTGCTTTGATCTTAGACCAGTTATCAACTGCTGCTTTGGCAACAGTTTTATATGACTGTGGTTACTTTTACAATGGGGTGCTCGAATACTCGTTTGATCTTGTTTCTGCCTCAACTACTGGTATTTTAAATATATAGCTCATTTTGCAGTGCATGTCATAACCATCTGTTTAATTGTTCTTTTCTTGCAGTTTATATTTATTCTTGTCTGTGAAATGTCTTTATTATAGGCAACAATACTATTAATGAGACACTTCAGCAATGATTTTGACTCCAGGAGTTGTGTGGCAGATTTTGAAGTCTGCTTTTAAAGGGACAGATAAAGGTAACTATTAATTCAACATTGATTGCTGAAATAGCAGTCTAAAAACCATGTAGTGTTAATTTTGTGCCAAGGAAGAGCTTATTTTGAAATCAAATCATGTTTGTAGTCTGCATCGGGTTAGCGCACTTCAAATTACACACCTCAAGTGGAACATGCAATGTCACAATGCTGCTCGACTTTACTGTGTGGCTGCGGACACTAGTAGCAGCAAAACGAAAGCAGTGGGAGCCACAGCAGCAACAACAGGCACTTAATACAGTTCTGTCATGGCCTGCAGGATGGCAGACGTGCTCGGTTCAACTGGGCCTCCCCAGATGGCATGACCTGGCCAGTTTAACCAAGTGAAAATTGAACTTTTGAACTCGACGACATATTGAGTGCTAACAGACAGGGACATGAGAGAGACGACAACACAATTCTCTCACGTCCCTGTCTGTTAGTGCTCACTATGTCAGCGAGTTCCGTTTACCAACACGCTCAATAAATGGCATTGCTGAACTTTTGAACCACTAGTGTCATTCCCCATAGTAACGTCCGGCAGGTCTTTTTTTCATAAATCGAACGGAAGTGAACAAACTGCATTTTATTATGTTTCCTGATGCACGGAAGGTTCTTTATCTAGTGCAGCTAGTTCGATCGATTACTAGTGATTAATTGAAGGTCGTACCTCTGACGTAATCAGGATTATTTTACAAATGTCCTATCATTGCGCATGTGTTCTCGTGCATTTACATTAATTTCTTGGCAAGTAGGGCACTACTGATGATAATATTGTCCTTTTATACGTTGTGATACACTGAGCTTTCACTCTGACATAAATTTTTATTTGACTTTAGTGTTCCTTTAAAGCACCAATAGCTGGTCTGAATTAGATTTTTTCCTGCTTAGAAAATGCTTATGGCTGCTCCAAATGGTTCTTTTTTTTTACCTTGCTTCAAAATCAGCTCCAGAAAGTAAAAAGTCACTTCCATAACTGCTGCCTACCGTAAGATTTATTCAGTGGCATATAGACAGCTGAACAAGAAAGAGAATTATGTGGTGAAAATTGCAAACCGGAGTGTTTCCAAACCCTCACCTGTACAGTAAATGGCACCCAGAAGTGTTTAATCCCAGATGCGCACACTGTTATGGTACAGCAGATCTGGTGCACATGGTCTGGACCTGCCCTTCTTACAACGATCCCAGCAGAAACGTAGAATCCTGACCGCCGCCGAGTCCCAAGGGATTCCGGCCGACGGCTAAGGGTATAAACGGGGGGCAGAGGCCACAGCCTCCTCCCCAATCATTCCCGACAGGTGCGAATAAACGTTATTTCTCTCTCTCTCTGCTGCATAACAGCACATATATAGAAGGTAGTGCATATCTCCATGAATATTTTTATTCTAAGTAAGTTGATAACAATAGTACTAAAGGGGTTTTCAAGACAAGAGAAAAAAACTCGCATGCAATTATCTAGAATCCTGGGAAGTGTGGAGAACTTCATTAAATGATTATTTTGTCTTTCTGATACCAGTTTCTTAAATTTAGTAGTGATGTTCTATTGAGTGCAGTACACCCATAATACTTTATGAAGTTTTGGATGTTGACTTGAGCTGTTGCATACAATATTGACTTAGAAAATCTCATATAACATGTAATCAGAACTGCACAAGATGGGATCATGGGAGGCACACAAGTTAAACAGAAATCATTTGGGCATTGCAGTCCAAGTATGATTGATAACCTAATTAACAATAATTATTGGGTTATACTTATCTGCCCATGCTTCCCATTTTTTCAATGCTTTATAAAGTTTGGGTGGTTTTATGATTTTACAAATAATGCATCAATAATTATAAAAAATAATTTTGCTAGAAAGTTTCCCTCATTATATAGTCTTTTCAGCTTTTAACTGGAGTTCTTTTGATGGTAAAAAAAAATGCCAAACATGTAATTGCTTCAAGCAAGTCTATATAAACTTTTTTTTTTCTGAAGTAGGCATCACACTCACGGCAAACTAGTGACGTGAAAAAGTCACTGCAGTCTAAAAACAATGTGTTGCTTGTTTGATCTTTGAAGGTCCAAGTTCAATGCTTCTTATGCCTAGCATCAAAAGTTAAATATCTTTAATAAAATGCATTTGTATCTCATGAAGGCACTTGTTCAGGACGAACAAGTTATTCCTGTTCTACCATCTTGGTGTCTTGTATGCAGAGTGCTAAGATTCAAGTTGCTTGGCAGGTTTCTGTACAACCACAATGACTGCAAACAAGTCCACCAGGTCCAAGACAGCCCAACGATTCTTGGAACAACAGAAAATTGGGCTAGTTAGTACGAATTCCTCGTGAAAGAAGGCACGAAAACAAGGAGCACAAAGAAAGAGAGCCAAAAAACAACAATGCTAACCTTCAGCTAAAAGATTGCACTGTGACAGAAAAGAAAATACACCCAAAAACTTATTTGGACATGCTTATAAAATGTGTGTAATTTCAGGTCATAGCTTGTGCTTGTGTTCGGTCCACTTCTTCTGTGCCTAAGTTTGTGCACCTTACATTTTTCCACAATCAACAATCCTATTCCAGACATAATAATAATAAGGCATTTCTGTAAATGCTTTGCCTTACCTGGTTTTCACTTTATTTCTTTAAAACCCCATGCAGAGGAACTACATAAGCGGTGGGGGTCCAATCAGGATCACATACACTCGACCATTCAGGATAAGAAGTGAACTCTCCTAGGTTCAGTGGAAGTTTCTGGGTTAATGATGGCAACAATGATGTAGACAAGGCCATTAGTCCACAATGGCATGTGGGGAAAAAAAGCAATGAGAAAGTGAGAGTACAGGCTTGAGGGTGAGCCACACAGGACCTGTGAGAAAGATACATGAACTGGTAGTGAGATGTAAGGTACCTAATTGAGAAATCTGTGGTACATTTTGCAAAACAGAGACAAGCTGGCAATGTGACAGAGACACGAAAGGCCGGGCAGGCCTGTTTCCATCTTTGATGAGGGTGCACATATATTGTATGAATGTCAAGAGTGAATGAACCTGATGGTACAATTTCACATCATCTTAAGTGTGTCTAGGAGATAACCTTGACGAGGTTCCAGACTGCAGAACCAATGCAGACAGTTCTTTAAGAAGGTGAAACAGCTAAAATTTTAAAAAACATGCTGTGTTATCACAGCCTCGCTACAACTAAGGTTTGGTAAACCACCATCCCTTAATTTTTCAATTTTGGCTTTCCTTACCTTAACTTACCCTATTTACACTATTATCCTTTCCCTCTGTAGAGGCGCAGTGTAAGTGCACTACGCATGCATCGACACTGCTAAGGGAAAAGCACTTGCTGCCCTGGTGAAAACAAGCACCTTTGCAGAGATATGACTTCACTGTCATTCTTTGTTTTATCACTGTTGATCACTTAAGCCACCATTTTTGTATGAACTGTCGTCCTATTTGGACAGCCCATTAATGGTTGTTCTGGTGGCTTTATGCTGTTGCGCCTCAACTGTGGCACAGTTCAAGTTGGAACTTTTTAGAGGCTCCCGTGTACTCAGATTTGGGTGCACGTTAAAGAACCCCAGGTGGTCGAAATTTCCGGAGCCCTCCATTACGGCGTCTCTCAGAATCTTATGGTGGTTTTGGGACGTTAAACTCCACAAATCAACTTTTTAGAGGCTAGTTAATACAGGACATGTTATAGGCACTCATGCTGCATGTCTTTATACAATGTGATACACTGGGCATCCACTCTGACATAAATTTTTATTTGACTTTAGTGTTCATTTAAAGCACCAATAGCTGGTATGAATTAGATTTTTTCCAGCTTAGAAAACGCTTATAGCTGCTCCGAAATAGTTCTTTTTTTTCTTGTTTCGAAATCGGCTCCAGAAAGTAAGAAGTCACTTCCATAACTGCTGCCCACCGTAAGATTTATCCAGTGGCCGATAGACAGCTGAACAAGAAAGAGAATTATGTGGTGAAAATTGCAAACCAGAGTGTTTCCGAATCCTCACCTGTACAGTAAATGGCACCCAGAAGTGTTTAATCCAAGTAGTGCTCACTGTAATAGTACTGCAGATCTGGTGCACATGGCCTGGACCTGCCCTTCTTACAACGATCTCAGCAGAAACATAGAATCCTGACCGCCGCCGAGTCCCAAGGAATTCTGGCCGACGGCTAAGGGTATAAACGGGGGAGAGAGGCCAAAGCCTCCTTCCCCATCATTCCCGACAGGTGCGAAAAAATGTTATTTCTCTATCACTGCTGCATAACAGCACATATATAGAAGGTAGTGCATATCTCCACGAATATTTTTATTTTAAGTAAGTTGATAACATTAGTACTAAAGGGGTTTTCAAGACAAGAGAAAAAAAACTCGCATGGAATTATCTAGAATCCTGGGAAGTGTGGAGAACTTCATTAAATGATGATTTTGTCTTTCTGCTACCAGTTTCTTAAAATTGGTTGTGATGTTCTATTGGGTGCAGTACAACCATAATACTTTATGAACTTTTGGATGTTGACTTGAGCTGTTGCATACAATATTGACCTAGAAAACCTCATATAACATGTAATCAGAACTGCACGAGATGGGATCATGGGAGTCACACAAGTTGAACAAAAATCATTTGGGCATTTTCCAAGTATGACTCATAACCTAATTAACTATAATTATTGGGTTATACTTATCTGCCTATGCTTCCCATTTTTTCAATGCTTTATAATGTTCCAGTGGTTTTATGATTTACCAATAATGCATGAATAATTATAAAAAATAGATTCGCTAGAAAGTTTCCCTCATTATATAGTCTTTTCAGCGTTTAACTGGAGTTCTTTTGATGGAAAAAAATTGCCACACATGTAAATGGTTCAAGCAAGCTTATATAGACTTTTTTTTCTGAAGTAGGCATCACACTCACGGCAAAATAGTGACGTTAAAAAGTCACTGCAGTCTAAAAGCAATGTGTTGCTTGTTTGATCTTTGAAGGTCCAAGTTCAATACTTCTTATGTCTCGCATCAAAAATTAAATATCTTTCATAAATTGCATTTGTATCCTATAAGGCACTTGTCAGGACGAACAAGTTATTCCTGTTCTACCATCTTTGCGTCTTGTGTGCAGAGTGCTAAGATTCCAGTCGCTTTGCAGGTTTTTGTACAACCACAATTGCTGAAAACAAGTCCACCAGGTCCAATATAGCCCAACGATTCTTGGAACAACAGAAAATTGGGCTAGTTAGTACGAACTCCTCGTGAAAGAAGGCACGAGAACAAGGAGCACAAAGAAAGAGAGCCAAACAACAACAATGCAAACCTTAAGCTGAAAGATCGCACTGTGACAGAAAAGAAAATAGACCCGAAAACTTATTTGAACGTGCTTATAAAATGTGTGTAATTTCAGGTCATAGTTTGGCTTGTGTTCGGTCCACTTCTTCTGTGCCTAAGTTTGCGCACCTTACATTTTTCCACAATCAACAATCCTATTCCAGACATAATAATAAGGCATTTCTGCAAATGCTTTGCCTTACCTGGTTTTCACTTTATTTCTTTTAAAACCCCATGCAGAGGAACTACATAAGCGTTGGGGATCCAATCAGGATCACGTACACTCGACCATTCAGGACAAGAAATGAACTCTCCTAGGTTCAGTGGAAGTTTCTGGGTTAATGATGGCAACAATGATGTAGAGAAGGCCATTCCAGTCCACAATGGCGTGTGGGAAAAAACAATGAGAAAGTGAGAGTACAGGCTTGAGGGTGAGCCACACAGGACCTGTGCGAAAGATACATGAACTTGTAGTGAGATGTAAGGTACCTAATTGGGAAATCTGTGGTACATTTTGCAAAACAGAGACAAGCTGGCAATGTGACAGAGACACGAAAGGCCAGGCTGGCCTGTTTCTATCTTTGATGAGGGTGCACATAAGTTGTATGAATGTCAAGAGTGAATGAATCTGATAGTACAATTTCACATCATCTTAAGTGTGTCTAGGAGATAACCTTGACGAGGTTCCAGACTGCAGAACCAATGCAGACAGCTCTTTAAGAAGGTGAAACAGCTAAAATAAAAAAAACGTGCTTTGTTATCACAGCCTCGCTACAACTAAGGTTTGCTAAACCACCATCCCTTAATTTTTCAATTTTGGCTTTCCTTACCTTAACTTACACTATTCACACTATTATCCTACCCCTCTTTAGAGGCGCAGTGTAAGTGCACTATGCATGCATCGACACTGCTTAGGGAAAAGCACTTGCTGCCCTGGTGAAAACAAGCACCTTTGCAGAGATATGACTTCACTGTCATTCCTTGTTTCATCACTGTTGATCACTTTAGCCACAACTTTTCCATGAACTGTCGTCCTATTTGAAAAGCCCATTAATGGTTGTTCAGGTTGCTATATGCCGTTGCGACTCAACTGTGGCACAGTTCAAGTTGCAACTTTTTAGAGGCTCCCGTGTACTCAGGTTGGGGTGCACGTTAAACAACCCTAGGTGGTCGAAATTTCCGGAGATCTTCACTACGGCGTCTCTCATATACATATGGTAGTTTTGGGACGTTAAACTCCACAAATCAACTTTTTAGAGGCTAGATAATACAGGACATGTTATAGGCACTCATGCTGCATGTCCTTGTATAATAAACCAAATAATATTAAACTACAAAAACCACTGCATAACAACATTATATGCTCAGAAAACATAGAATAAATGCAACAGTGCACATTTCAGAACATGAGCACTGTTAAAATGCATCACAACATTTTAAACCTTATGAAGATCAAATTGCATGGAGCCCATAATAGTAAGCACCACTTCACCTACATAGTCCCAGGGTTGACACAGCAGATACCAAATATGCTCAGCCATTTTGTGAATCAGATGGGTGCACCACAGCAGTTTCATTGAGGTGATGGCTTACACACATAAAATTCATTCAATAATAGATTGTAAGAGGAAAGATGTATCTGTGGCATAACTGGAAACTCTTACTGCTAACAAACAACACATGCAGGAGCACAACATAAACCTTGAGCGCTAGAAAATAAGGACCTAAATTAGTCTAAGGTCACTTGAGCAGTTCACACTTTCATAAAACTTGAGGCTGCACAATAGAATGAGTCCAATGCCTTCCCAGGAATATAACTGCCATACAAGGATGCAACAGGATTAGAGCAACAACCAGTGCTTCGTTGCACTTCCTTGGTCGTCATGATGGGCATAAGTGTTAGGTTTCGAAGCTCCAGGTTCAGTTGACGGAGATCTTCAGCAACTTCCACCAATTGAGAAGAGGTGTAATGGATGTGCATTTCTCGACTCTACAGACACAACACAGGGAGTCAGAGCAGAGCACCATCCAGAAATATTGTAGCGACCATAAGCGCGTGTCGAGCGAACTGAGAGAGACCAGCATCCGAGCGTTGGCAATACTGCTGAATGGAGACTCATCATGTTCACACGTAGGACTAAAAGCTGAGCTAGATAGTAAGGATTTATTGTAAAAGAGGGTAAGACATGCAAACTTGGGCACAAAAAGAAGATAGCTAGGCAACACAGATGCCAATTATCAACTGAAAGGACACAACGTGGTTGAAGAGAAAACAGACATAAACACTTATCTGCATAGGTATGGCAGTGCCACCTGTCAATTCGGAACACAAATTTTCTACATATACTTTCGATGCCATTTGGAAGTGCTATAGATGAATAGCCACTATTCGTGAATTTTCTACTTTGAGTAATAGTGAAATAGTCTTTGATGGTTCCAAGCATGCAGTGTGGCTCAGCGCTTCAAGTCATGATTATCAGATGTCTCACTTTCGATTTTAGTTTTTGATGTTTGAATTAATTAGCTTTCTATCAACTG